TTTTGGTTGGACCGAACCGATCCATTGAGTTTTGGACCGAAATTTCCGGAAAGTTTGGTTGACTGGATCGCGCCCAGTAGCTCTCTTTGTCTCCTGCTTTCGAACTGTTTTGTCCGTTCCTTTTCTATCTAAAATGCCTTTTCCTTTCATTATTATACATTATTTAAATACTAATAAATGCATTTTCTCGCTAAAAAGTCATTTCTTTTTTGCCCGTTTTTCCATTTATTGCCGACGAGGCAACCGAGCTAAGAAGCGAGGTTGCCTCGGCGGCAGATTTATAATCCCGCACGATGTAGGCAAAACCTCTCAAATTCTGCGTAACCCTCTAAAATTTGCATTTTTGACCATATTTGGGTGTAAGCAAGACCCCAAATTTGGGTAGTGACGTCATGGTCTTGTATTTACAACGCGTGGTCCGAATGTGGGTGATTCAGTGTGCAGCTGTTCGTTGTCTGTTCAAGAGGCCCTAACAGGTGAGCAAGCTTTAATACGATTTCTCGTTTGAAAGGGCTATTAGTGCTCTGGTTTGCTTTATAAATTGCGTTTAAAGCTGCAGCTGATCAAGGAATAGGGTTTTACGCTCAAATTTTTGTCAGAACCAGCTTGTTCTTTGCAGCTCCATTTACAATGAGGTAGCGTGTTCGCTTCTCGACTCAGAACCAGGGTTTTCCGTGCTCTCTTTTCCTTTGGGAATTGAATTTTAAGCGGTAGTTGATCAAGGCAATAGGGTTATATTGTCAAAACTTATATCAGAACCAGCGTGTTCTTCGCAGGTCGATTTACATTGAGCCAAACTTCACCTCCCGTGAGGAATGCAACGTATCAGGGGCACCCAACGAGAATATAGTTCAAAACCACTTAAACATAGCATTGTTAAACGTATTTTAGTATTTAAAAGGTAGATATAGGCATATTTTTATCCCCTAAAAATTTTTAATCTAATCGGATTTCCTAGCTGAAAGTCTAGTGATCCGAAAACTATAGGGATTAAAACTTACCTTTTCGAAAATTTCAGCCAAAAAAAGGCTCCCGAAACTTTTTAGGATAAAAATCGGTTAGAAATGTGCAACTGTACCATTTTCTAGATGTTCGAAAATCCTAGGAGAGGCAGGAAAGCAAGAAATTTTACAACAAATGTTCCGAAAATTCTAGATCTCAAAACCTCTTCCGAACAGATATTTTCCGAAAATTGACGTTGGGTGCCCCTGACGTATTTGCGGATCTTTTTTTAGAATTTATTTATTAGATTTTGTCAACCAGCATGTTTTTTTGCAGCTCGATTTACATGTACATTGAGACAGTCCAAAACTCCCGTGAGGAATACAACGAACTTGCGGACCTTTTGTTTTGAACACTATCATTATGCCTTTAGAGAGAATCTTTGTCCTGTGACACTCGCTCATTAGATCTTTGTATTTTATTCAAGTTCATATTGTTATACCTCCGATACTTTCCGCCCCATTCTTGCGCTTTTCACACAGTTTACTTTACACCAATTTTTTCTGATGTATATTACTACGCGAATTTTTGTTTTTTATTCCTGATGACGCTGTTGCTCGGAATTTAATTATTATTTTTAATTTCAGCAGTCAAAGGCCTTATTTGAACTATATTTTTCTTTCTAACGTTTATAGTTTTGATACAATGGAATTTTCCATGAAACATAAGTGCTAACTTGCTCATGATTTACCAACAAGCTTCAAGCTATGTTGTTATTGTTTAATGAAAGTGAAAGCCTAGAGTGTGCCAAAGTTGTTGTTTTGAAGTTGGGTGCCATCCTTTGCTATAGCGGAATCCATAATTATAAAAAGAGGCTGAGCTGAGCACCTACCCTCGTTTTGAAACAGAGGCCTGGGGGAACTCGGAAACGGCCTAGTCGCCTGAAAAAAATAAAAATAAAATAAAATTAGGGACTACTCTTTGTATATCCGGCAATCGTGTTACCGGTGCTACTAAAATTGACTTCAACCAAGAGAGGTTAAAGCTTTATCCTCTCTTGCTTTAACCGACTCGGTTGATATTGATAAGACCAAAGGACAAGACCAGAAGCCCATGAAGACCAAATCCGACAGTGTGTTCTCTCCAGTATACCAGTATTGAAGTGCCACTACTCCGGACGACTGTCGAGAAAATAGAAAGAAAAACACTAAAATTTGACAAAACGAAGAAAAGAAAAATGAAAAAGTGGAGGTACGGGGTTTCGAACCCCGGACCTCTCGCATGCAAAGCGAGCGCTCTACCACTGAGCTACACCCCCGCCCACAGTTATGAGAGGAATAAAAATATTATTTATTCAGTTAGTTTACCTGATTATACAGCGCAATTAAGCCTTATAACTCTTTGAGATATTTTTTTCGATAAATGTGCTGTTTCGAGTCCTAGAAAATTATTTTACGTCCTAAATTATAAGTAGCACGTAGGCTTTATAATTTAAAACCTGTCTTGAGAGTTTTTGTGCGTTCTTTTCCTTGAGAATGCCATTTCCGGGGGATTTCGACAAGGACTTTTTAGCAAAGTCGATTACAGGAACAAAAATCGGTGAAAAGTTAAGACAAGTGTCTGCTGATGTAGTGAAAATTTTCCCGTGAGATTCTAGAACGTGTGACCTCGCCGTGACAAGTATAGCCCCGCGTGTGACAGAAAACAAGATATTCGTTTCCAGTCTTCCACGTTTTTGTTACTGCTCCTGCAAAAATGGCGCATCTTGTTCAAATCTTGAATCAGCTGCATTGTTTAGCGTGGTCTAAATCAGTTCTGTTTCCTTTCAAAATGAGTTCTCTTCCGCTTTGCAAGGACGATTTTGGCGGCGAAGTAACTTGAACAGTTAGGGTCATTGTTGGCTGAAGCAATGGCGTCGAATTCAATCTCAGAAAAATTGTGCTTGAGGTGAGCTTATGTAGAGAGGTGAAAAAGTCTAATTGAGTCAGAGTGTTATTTTCTCAAGTCAAAGTTCTAAATAAACTATGTCACAAAATTAAATTTGTAACTCAGTGTATGGGGTATTCCTTAATTGCTTACTTTTGTTTTATTCATTCGATGAGGTAAATGTCAGCTGTTTTTTAACTGATTATCATGGTCGTGGCGTGACAGATTCAGCTGTTTTCGCAGTCAATGCGAAGGCAGACAGGCTTCCTTCCTACTGTTCCGGGAAAATGACGAAGCAAGGCCGCAAATAATATTTCTTTACACCGGACAAACTTCTTACCAGGACAAACCAAAAAAGTTGTTGTTCAGACATTAGTTGACTTTTAATTTAAAAAATTATAAGAACTATGCAAATCTCCAGCCTCAAAATTACAGTCTTTTTTTATTCAGCTTACTGGCTTAGAGAGCCAGTAAGGCTCTATGCTAATGATGGTAAGGTCATTTCTATTGTTCTCGTGCGTGCAGTAACATGTGGTCTTTGGAGCTGAAGGGACTGGGTTTGATACCTGCCATCTCCCATTTTCTTAACTCTGTTTTATAAAGCATTGTTATGACAAGGAGGAATTTGATATTGATTGTTCTTAGGGCTGTTTAAAAAGTTTGAATAAGATATTATGATGTATTTTAAAAATGTAAGGTGTTTGCGTGCGTGAGGAATCGTATTTCAAATATCATATTACAGGAAAAGTGTTCTGTTTTGACTCATGATAATTCTCCAATTTCTTCGCCATTTCTATGCATTCGTAATTGCTAATATGTGTTGATTGAGTTGTGTGAGTAATGAATGTTTTTCAATCATTGGTAGTATTAAACATTGAAAATCACAATGTGGGAAAATACAAACACAAATATGTCACTTTTACTATGTAAACATTCAATAATTAAAATGTCACAAATTTGCGTAATTTAACTGACATTTTTAAAGTTTCATCTTGTGGTAATTTCGTTACGACAATTTATTGTGTGCTTAATCTTGGCAAGAAATTACAATAGTCCCAGAACCATATCTGTGAAAGTTTGAACTTTGCCTGTGGCTGCCGAACCAACCTTATGGCGCATGACAAACAGTGACAAAAATTGCACATGGCGATTAGAAGTTGGTATACAACATGACTGCTTTGAAAAACGATTTTTTTTGCAAGCAGACAGCTTTCATACAAACTATTAATTGCCAGTAAGCTCATGTCCTCTCCGAGGACTATTTTTTTATCTGTCTGATCATGTCTGACCACAGGTAGATTTTTGTCCAATCATTGCCAAGTATTAGAGGAATTTGCAGGTCTGCTTGGTATTTGTTGAACTTACAATGTATGTGAAAAGTTTAGTTTTATAAAAATAATTTCCATTTATTATATAAACACCAATGAAATACCAGGTGAGCTTTCGTGCAAAAACTTGATATCTTCACATGTGAAAATATCACCGTTGCTATGGCTACATCATAAATCACGCTTTTCACACCGAAAAACTATTAAAATGAAATGGTTTGGTATTTCATTGGTGTTTATATAATAAATATAACATTACAAGGCTGCTTGGAGATACAAAATTTCTCTTCTTGTGTTGAAAAAATATTTCACTCTTTCGCTGCACTCACTCGTGAAATATTTTTCAACGCTCGAAGTGAAATTTTGTATCTCTGCGCAGCCATGTAATATCCACTATATGTGAAATCATGTTGAACTGGCTTCATAACCTGAAAAGGAGGTTTGGGTGAGGAGTGTGCCACTTAGACCTTTAAAACCTGGTGGTGTTTAAGTCAAAATGGTTCACTTGCTACCCTGTAAAGACAGGAGATTTTTCACCTGAGGCACTAGAAGTGTAATGTGGTATAGATTTTCAGGGTTGTCGTTAAGATTTCGAGTTGCCGGGTAAATACAACAAGTAGGCGGGGAATCAAACACCCAGGGGTTTCTTTTAGTTCTAATTTTCTTCTATTTTCCAATAAAAGTAGCCGGGGCCCACACTCATTGTAGCCAGGGGAAATCCCTGGCCCCCAGCTCTTATTGACAGCTCTGGATTTTGATAACTACACCCACTGATCATAAATCTGTGAATTTCAGATCACAAGTATGGCAGCATCAAGAAGGCCTGCCCTTGTACACTGGAAAAATCTACAAACAGTGGTCACTGCTTCCAAAGGTTTGTAACCTTCATATACATGTAAGCTTTTTGTATAAGTTTTTGTCACCTATGAATGTAGCCCCAGTCTACTAAAACAAAAGTTATGTTCATTAACTTTCAGGCACTTTCAGAAATGATCAAAAAAGTAAATGGGAGGTTTTAGCACAGAGCCCTTCAGTGTGATTTCTTAGTTTAAAAAGAGTTTATGGATTTTGACTAATCAGCAAAGTTTTGCAATAGTGGTAAAAGGTTAACATAACAAACCAACTGGTAAAAGTTTCTGTTTTTCCTTTGAATTCCTTCCCTCTTCCACTCAAAAAAAGGTACCAATTTAGTAATTATCAAATATTATTGGAATTAGTTTGGTGTGGTAACAGAACAAAATAATAAACTTGCCATTTCAAGCCATACATTTCCTTTGTTAAAGTGTTACAATTTCCCAAGAACAAAGATAGTCATTATGATATCGGAATATTTAGAAACTGGACTGGAATTTGTCCATATAGTGAAGAAATGCCACTTTCGTTCAAAACCGAGAACAGTCGTTCTGCAGAAAACAGGGGCACCCAACGACAGTTTTCGGAAACATATCTGTTCGGAAGACGATTTGAGATCTAGAATTTTCGGAACATTTGTTGCAAAATTTCTTGCTTGCCTGCCTCTCCTAGGATTTTCGAACATCTAAAAAATGGTATAATTGCCTATTTTTAACGGATTTTTGCCCTAAAAAGGTCATCTAGAATTTTCGGGAGCCTTTTTTCTGGCTAAAATTTTCGAAAAGGTAAGTTTTGATCCCTATAATTTTCGGATCACTTGACTTTCAGCTAGGAAATCAGAACAGATGAAAAATTTTTAGGGGATAAAAATATGCCTATATCTACCGTTTAAATACTAAAATACGTTTAACAATTCTATGTTTAAGTGGTTTTGAACTATATTCTCGTTGGGTGCCCCTGAGAAAAGAAAAGATCATTACGCAACACGGGTTGCCTATTAAACGACGTACGCTTTCAGCCGTGGCTCAGGAAATGTAAGTAGGGTTTTCAAACATACTTGTAATAAATGGGCATTTTTATTTTTATTACACTCTTAATCTGAATTTGTATATACGACATACATTGTGGGCAGCAATGCTGCTGTTTTTGCGGGCGACAAATGAAGCCCACAGCCTAATCTTGGTCAGCGGCTTTCTATTAACTATATAGCTTTTTCCCGAGTCTGTCCCCATTGTTGGGATGCTCGTGTTGTACCGACTAATATGCATGGTATGTGGCCGCGAAGGCTGTAGCGTTGAGTTTAAGGTCCGTGTGATGTCACATTAATCACGTGAATGCACATGCAAGTGATGCAACAATCATTAATTACATTCGATTCGCAAGCACTCGTAGTTCAGGTACACATTGTACTGCACCGGCGAAAGGGGAGACTGTTCAGTTCGCCTTGCCTGCCTGGAATCCATTTATCCAGGAAAGTGAAAGTAGAGACTGATCTCAGCTTAGTGCGGAACGCGTTTTCGGTAAGATAGGAGTGCTAGCAAAGTCTAGAAATCGATGCAGATTAAGTATATTTAGGTTTCACTACAGTGCATGGTTTTTATATTTTTATACGTTTCCAAGCATGTTACGTCGCTTGTCATCCGAAAGCTTCAATAAGCTGTAATATCCAGTGGTAATTTAAGCTGTTTGATCATTTTGTATTGCATATCAACGGCCTTTGGTCATTCAACACGGATTGAATATTCGATTGAATAATAAGACTTCGGGCATGACTGTACACAGCTATTTCGAGAAAGGTTGTCGCAAAAACTGTGCACGCGACAATACCGAAAGGTAATATGGGATATGATCAGTACACTTGTTATTGACACTGTAGCTGTCGAACCTACTTTTGTTGCTTTCCTTTAGCACTCGCAAACATACGTCCATGGCCGCTCGTGCCATTCTTTGAAATTTATTTGAAAAACAGTGAACTAAAAACCACCCACAATACCTTTCGGGATTGTCGCGTGCACTTTTTCCGACGACCTTTCTCGAAACAGCTGTATACACGCATTACTTGTGTCACGCATTACTGTTTCAATGTATCTTTGCCGGCGAATACAAACGTCGTCCCTCGCTTCTTACCATTGGCAGGCTAATTGTATCTAAGCAACTGCGAATAAAATCGTTGAATTAAATAAGAATCTTGTTTACTGTGTTGGCCAATCTAGTTTTCATGATCCGCCGTGATTCCTTTTATTGACACTATAACTGAAGGCCATTCAATTCACTTACATATGAAAGCGGTTTCGCGCGCACCTCCTAGCCGACGGCTACCGCTAGTACTAATTTCTTACTTTTGGTAAGATTTCTCCTGAGTTTCATACATTTATTGTGCACTTGTTCGACTCTATTCATATAAACTATTTGTGTGCAATAGCCGGGGATTGCTGCATGCATCATAAATGTCATGGAGGTGAGAGAAAATGCGGCCCATAATTTTTAATGTCACCTTCATTACCTCAAAATTTTGTGATTTTTGTCAATTTCGTAATAGAGTTCAATCCTGGACATATCTCACTGATTTCAGGGTAGTCTTTGTTTATTATGTACTAATTTTATTGCTTTTTTTACGATTTCGTGATCAAAGGCTTCAATAAATTATGAATAACTAGTATTTTTCACAAACTGTTAGTTTATTAAAACGACTTGACCTTGAAAGTCAGTAAAAAAAATAAATGGAGGTAAAAATCGATCAATATAAACTGTGTTTTGATGCTACAAAGTGCAAAGCACACTTCTCTGCAAAAAGCACTTATTGTGCTCTTGCCTGTAATTATTTCAGAATTTGACATTAAATTTCTCTTACATTTTAATATCATTCCCTTGAAGGAATTAAGCCAACAAATCACTTCAGACTTGTCGTTCTAAATATACGCTTTGCACTTTTATAACTTACATAAATCCGCCGATTAATAAACGAATTTTGACGCAGTTTAATTCGCCGATATCAAAACACACGTTTCTGGAGTTTCTCCGTTTGGACTAATGACGTTATTCGCGTAATTTATTGCTACCAAAAATATTTTCTGCCACTAAATTCTTCATTTTGTGAGTGGAGCTCACGTCATGGTGTCGTTCAAACAATTGCCTCGAACTTTTCGGTATAGACAGAAATTGCGTGGGGTGATAAATAGGCGTAACTGTTTGCTAGCAGTTTCATTTGTAAAGAATGGTTATTATACATTTCTCGCACGATCATGATTTTGCATTGGTTCTAAAATTATAAATAAAGAAAATAGTAGACTGAAATTAATTTGCGTAACACGACTTACTGACCAGAAAAAAAAAAAAGCTAAGTGTTTGCTTTATAATGTTACGTTTTAAATAGTCTTGCCTGAATATGTTAAAGTTACTTCGTAAAAAGACGATGACAATGAGATAATTTTTGTTTAAAAATAGTGGTGTTGAAGAAACGGCGAGACAAATACGATGCCACGAGTCTACACGCTTTTTCCGTTTAAGAAGTCGTTTATAAAGAAAAAATGTCATGACAATGTAGATTTCTTGTGCGCGTGCGGTTGGCATAAGAACGTGGCATGCTGGACTCTATTGACATGCCTTTAAGATGTTATTTGTTTAGACATCGTGACTGAAAAATGACAAATCGAAAGTTTAAATTGAATAGTACAGGTCCTGGTTAGAACCTTGGCCGTGTCATCGAGTGCGTCGGTTTCCTTAGTACACAGAAGACTTTTTTAAATACTGCTGTGGGTAGCCCTTGTGGACTGGCATCTAGTTGCAATACTCCGAGGTGCTTCGTTGCCCGCAGTGAAACTTGATACGATTCAGTTCTGTAGACTCCCTCAAGAATTTCATGGAGATTTTCAAGAGTAAGAACCTACTTTAGAGTAGAACAAATAATACCATAGGAAAGAATGGCTCCGTAGCTTTCTTAAATACTGAATGGTAAAACTTAAGGATTCAATCGCCACATGTAACAGATGTAAGGGAATCTAAGACAGTCTTGGAATCAGGATTCCACGCCGTGGATTCTGGATTCCAGGCACTGGATTCCAGTCTTTGTCAGTGGAACTTAGATTCCAGTCCTTAGTGGGATACCGGATTCCTTGAGCTGCATTCCGGATTCCACAAGCAAAAATTTCACCGATTCCAGATTCCACAAGCAAAAATTTCCGGGAACTCGGATTCCGAATTCCCGTACATGGGGTGAAAAGAGACGCACCGAAGATTGCTCTAGACTTGTATCTCGATTTTCGCTTGTATTTTGAAGCTACTAGCCCAAATTGCTTCAATGTTTTCTGTAAAATACTGTTGCAGTCAATATTTCTAGCCAGAATAATAAATAACAGGGGCACCCAACGGCGGTTTCCTCCTAAATACATTGAAAACAGTTTTTAGGCTATCGAGAGTACTTTTAGATCTCTAGAAATGCATCCTAAGGTTGAGTAATTGGCGATATTAAACATATTGATCTGGACTGCCGAGACACAGCCCCTTTAAGTTATCTCGATTGTGGCTGCTTCTGTTACTCTTGGGGTATTAACCCATTAATATCCAAGTGGCCAAAGTTAAGATTCAAGAAAAATTCACATTGCAGTTTCGTTTCATGAGGCAAATGATTCTAAAAGTACTGCTGCAGGGGTGTCATTTCAATGGACACACCACAGGACGTCATCCACAAACTCAAAAGTTAGAACTACATACTGAATTAATAGTACCTCGTGAAAGTAATGCCGAAGAGGTTTCATTTCAATGGACACACCACAGGACGTCATCCACAGACTCAAAAGTTAGAACTACATACTAAATAAATAGTACCACGTGAAAGTACTACTGAAGAGGTTTCGTTTGAATGGTAACACCATAGGATTTCCTCCATAGACTCAAAAGTTAGAACTACTTACAAAATGAATAGTACCACGTGAATGTACTACTGAAGAGTTTTCATTTGAATGGTAAGGCTGTGTGCAAACCCATAAGTCTTTGTAAACCATGCGTATGAGCGTACGTGGCCCCAGCAGTGTTGGAAGAGCTGTGCAAACAGATCCAACATTGTTGCGCTACGCTTCGGCGATCAGGAAACAAAAGAAATGTTGGGAGTTGTTGGCTGAAAAGTTTGATCGGTTTCAAACTTTGCGCAACAACACGCAACAACATCCAACAACATGCAACAGGGTGTGCAAACGGACGCAACATGTAACATCCAACAATGTTGCATCCGTTTGCTCGGGGCTTAACACCATAGGATTTCATCCACAGACTCAAAACTGATCAGAACCTAACAGAAAAAAAGTACCGTTTGAAAGTACTACTGAAGAGGTTTAATTTGCATGGTCACACCATAGGATTTCGTTCACAGACTCAAAAGTTAGAACTGCTCTGTAAATAAATACCACCATGTGTGTACTGCTAAAGTGGTGTCGTTTGAATGGTGACACCATAGGATTTCTTCCAAAGACTCAAACGTTACGACCTGTTTATACTGCGCGATAAATAGTACTTTGTAAAAGTTCTGCTGAAGTGGTTTTTTAGTTTATTTAAATGGTCACACCACAGAATTTCATACAGGAAGAAAACCGGTCAAGAGTTTATAATAAATTCTTAATTGATTCCACTAACAATCTAGCAAATATCATATACTTTGAAATTTGTATCGACGTTCTAGTCAGAGCAGAAACCTTCAGTGCCGCATATTTTTTTTCGAATGTCTTTTATATTCACATTATATTTAATTCAGTCTTTCTTACGAAATTATGGATGTGTTATCTTTTGCATTTAACTATTTTGACTGCGAACCTGTTGATATAATTTTTAACAAATCGATGCTCCTAGTTTCTATTACTCCTTTGCGTACTTGCCGAACCCTGCTAGGACTTCGAGCGGCCTTCTTTTGCGTGGCGAACCCTAATATTCCGGCAGATAAGTGAAGGAATTCTGCCTTTTATGATAAAAATGTAAACTTGAAATACATAATCATGTCAAGGAAACATTTCTAGCGATTGTGCCATCTAAGAGTAGTCACTTGACCATCTTGGCAGCTCGTTTTTAAAGGCCGTGCTGCTTTTTTTAAACTTTACCATCGATTGATGTTCAACAGTCCATCAAATCCAACTGTTTGATTTCTGGCCTTTTTTTTTTCAAAGAATGACGTGTACTATATTTGTTTTGTATCTATAAAACGCATTTGAGGTTGTTATAGAACTAAATGATAAATCCTTTCTGCGTACGAAAATTCTTTGAGTTTATGAATTATAAACCGCTTTACAAGAAAGCGTCTAAATAGTTTTAGAAACCACTTCGTTTAATCTGTATAATTAACAAATGTTTAGGGGTTACCTTATATAAACACTGTGTTATTTTCAGTAAAATACATGAATTTGAACTGTCAAAGGTCAGGGTAACGAATTTTATTCGAGTAGTTTTGTATAAAACTTTGTGGCGAAATGCTTGATTTGCTCATTTTTTTAAACACAAAGGCAACTGCGAACAAGAAAATGCAATTTGTTTTTTGACAATGGTCAAAATGAAGAGTTAACCGAGAGCGCTTTCTGAGTTTTTATTTACGAAGAACATTCTAGACTAACAACCATGTTTAACAATCGTTTGCCGTGTGATTTATCCTTCGCTTATGAAGGCAACCGAGTCGAAACGTTGTCCTCAGAGGTTTATTATAAATTTAGTTCAAAAAGTGCCACGGCGGTGCCAGTAAGGCTAGCTTTGTTTTTCGAAGATCGCGTCATTGATTTTGCATATCGTTCTTGGTTGGTATTTGCTGATCTTACTTCAAATTAGGCAAAAATGTGGTATCAAAATGGGATATTTTAATCACAGGGCAAAGACAAAACCCAAATATATCAATATTTTCCTTACTGTCTTAATTAAATTTAGCTTCGCAGATTTTAATGTTCGTGCGAGAAAGCGCCTCACTAAGGAATTTTTTGTGGCATTTTAAATTACGTATAAAAAAGCCAAGTGACGTAATTTTCAATTCTGAGTTTGGATTATGGTTTTTACCGCATATTTACAAGCGCATGTCTGTTTTTATAGCGCCAAATATAGATTTTTCATCGCCTTTTATTGTTATTATCTGATATGAAACCTTCACAGGAAAGCAACTGTTAACATCCATATTCACGTTCTGTGTTTAATGTGGGTGTTCCTTGTGGAAAAAGACTGATAAACCTAAGCTCCTTTTCAAAGGTTGTTAAGGCGATTTCTTATCCTAAGCTTGACGGATTAGTAATGACAGTAAAGCCATCTAATACCTATCTGTTGATTTTTCGTTTCAATTACAGTGTCCCATAAAGTAAACCAAGCGAGCGTTAGGTCAAATTCTGTCGAAAAACGCGTTGAATGAGTAAGCAATATTAAGAAATTTGTCGTCTACGTAAAATTGGCGCATTTGCGGTCGCAAATTTGCATTTTTATATTTTCACTTGCTTTGGCGTACTTTATTTTATTTGGCGGGTCTGCGACCGAGATATAAAATTAGCCAATTTGACATCAATCCCTTTCATAACTTTCAAATTTCGCGTAAAATTGGCTTCTACGAAACACGGATAGCTAACATTTTACTGGCGATTTTATTATATTCCTTTGAAATATCAGGTCAAATTAAGTCAAGAATTAAAGAGTGTATAGACTTGTATCTGCTAAACTGGATCGCACCCGAAAATGGTTCAATGGTTTTTCTGTTTTTCTGTTTTTCTTTGTTTAAATAACAATCAATTTTCTAATGATAAATAACGAATTGCAAATAGTTAATAGAGAAGATTATGAATAAAGAACATATGAATAAAATGATTGTAATAAACGATAGCAATTGGGTTCGGCTATCAGCTGCTTATAAAAAAATTATCGCCAAGGAATATTGGCGTTTCATATTTGATTTTCTGAGTTTAGTTGGAAACAGCACTTTATGGAAACACGCGCGGACCCTCCCGAATCAGCTGCTATATGGAAAGTTTTGAATGTCTGCCCTCTGTGTTCCAACTTGCACGTCTTGCGTCCCTTTCGTGAAGTTCACGGCAGATTTTTTTTTTTTCGGACGGGAAGTAGTTGTTAATAATTCATGTTGTTGACTCACGCATGCTTTTTGGTGCATGTTTGAGATAAACTTAGTGAGCGAACTTTTTTAATAAAGCGATTCAGTGGCAGTGACAGCTAATGAAAAATTTGTTTTTTTGTTAATGAAATATATCCTTCCTTGTTTGACATTGTTGTAGCTTTTGAATGTTTTGTGTTGTTCTGGGTATTTGCACCTGATCTTGGTTTCCAGTTGAAACCTTGTACAGTTTTGATTCCTGGTTATCCCTTTGTCACAATATGAAGTATTAAATCTGGTCTGCATATACCAAAATATACCGCCAACAGTTCGATTCTCGCCGTTTTAATAACCCGTGCAATGTGGGATATCTCCCGGCGTTCAGTAAAAGCCACTTAGATCGAAGTACGTCCCAAAACCGGTGCATTAATACTCAGTTTTATTCATCTTTTGTAGGCGTCCAATTTATATACTTTTAATTCTTGCTTCGTTAAATCGCCATGAAGTGCCGGTTCGAACTACGTCGCGATTAAATTTCTTTGTCAACTGCCGTCGACACTTTGCTTGAGGCCAAACTTTGTTTCAAATCGATAATAAATATGTCTTGACATTCAACAACAATTTGTCTTTGTTGTTTTACTCGGTTAATCTTGGCGTTATTTATCCCTAAAAAATAGGAATGAGAGCCTCTAACTGCATGGCGACAATTTGAATTAGCCAATACAGAGACCGTTTTTTCTTAAATTTGAGTTCATATTTGGCTTGTTACTTGCAACTGTTTCACCCCTGATATTGGCCCAAGAAAAAAATCCTTCCAAAATTATAATTACTTTTTATATAGTTCCAGGGAGTAAACATTACTACGCGAAAGTCCTCCCTAAGAGGTTTTTTTTTGTGGGAACAATATAGGGTTGCGTCTACAGATTTAAAAGTTAGGGTGAAAGACAATCTTGCCAAACTGAGGCGAGAGAACAGGTTCCTCAGTGCACTATGACAAACTTAACTTAAAACAGAAAGATCATCTTGCAACATAACTAGTGCTTACTGGAATGTATTAATAACGCGTCTACGCGCTTGTTGGTGTTTTTTAAGTTTTTCGTTTGACGCTGTTGATCGAAAAAGTGAAATTGCGAGTGATGGCGTCCATGTGGGCTGTAAGGTTTTCGGTCAGGGTGTCTATTGGGCTGAGACATGCGCCGTACTTTAGGAAACGTAGCATAAAAAAGTAACCCCTGTGCGCCTCTCGTGTGAATTTGAAAACCCAGAAGTCGAAACCCTGAGGTGACATGCTGATTTTGCCGCTTGCTCCGAGACGTGTTTCTTCGGGTACACCGGTTTCCCCCTCCCTTCAAAAGTCCACAATTTCAAATTCTAGCTCAAACTAGAACGCACGAACACCTGTTAAACAAGTTCTTCAGATCAGAGCTAGTATGTTAATGGTGGGTAAACAAATTCCATTTTGTTTTTCCAATTTCTCTTTGAGGGTCTTCAATAGGTTCGGGATACGGAATACGGGATATGCCTTATTTGAAGGTCAGGATTCGAGATCTCAAGTAAAATGAGAGCGAGATTCGCGGGATTGATCGCATTGATACAGGATGCCAAAAGAAGCCATTAGGATTACGATTGAACGAAAATTTGGCTCGGGATGATGGGATTAAGGGTCCCCAATAAGTTTGTCAGGATACGGGATTTACCTTATTGGACGGCCGGGATTCGGGATCATTAGGCAAAATGTAGGGACACTCGAGATTGATCGCATGCACAGGATGCGGGATGCGGGATCGGGGCCACTAGGATTACGATTGAACGAAAATTTGGCTCGGGATGACGGGATTAAAGAACCCTGCTTAGGACCTTTCTCTTTCCTATCTAAATATATTTTATGTTTCGAACCTTAAAGCCTTTACGTTGCGAGTTCCGCGTGATGTGAAGTCCGGTAGTTGCGTTTAATGTCTGTCTGGTCGTTGCATTGAGTGTAATTGCTTTATTGACGCTGTGGTGATATGGCAAAAAATAATTTTTTAAAATAACTGGCTATTAATAAGCAGCAAAGTCGTGTCGCCTCGTCGTATTAAAACTAATTTCAACCTTGCAGCGCTCGACTAAACATAATGATTTTTTAACAGAGATTTTTTTTCTAAATGTGTTGCGACTGTGAACTAATACTACTGAGGAGCTACATTCATAGAAGTGATTATCTTTTATCAATTATTCCTTAAGCACTCGAAGATACAGGCACTTGTATTAAATACTTACTTTGTATAAACTTTTATTTTATCGTTAAGCGATAAGCTTATCGATTGGTTAAGAACGGGCCGAGTGAGCTTTCGAATCGCTTGACCAGCATCATGCCGTTAATGCTGGAAATGTGGTTGCGTTTTTAGCATTAGTCGTAGAAGTAGAAAACATTTTAAGAAAATCATTGTATTTGTAGTAAAACGTGTTAAGTATAACACCACTGAATTGCATGTTATGTTCTCTGTCCGTTTCCACAAGTTGCTGCAGTTATTTTTAGTTAATTCCCTTTTCGTTTCGTTACTCTCTCCTTTTTTTGGCCGTTCTTCAGGTTCCCTTGTGATCATCTACCGTTACTCCCTTAGGGTTTTAACCTTCGCATCTCTCTCAAAGTTCACGAACCCGGACTAATTATCATTTCTTAAAGTTGGTCTTTCTCAAACAAACCTCTTAGCGGATGATAGACTACGCTTTAGTGCTATTTGAGGCTCACGAGAATTAAAAAAAGCGCCGGACCCTTTTACCGTAGTCCTGCAAAACGCCTGCAGACGTGCAAGCAGGGATATTGTACTTCAAACTCCTACCCAATGGCACCGTGAACAGGTTGCAGTTGAAGTTGATTAAAACCCATTGTGCGGTGACCGACCTGAAGGGGACTGCGTAATTGACAAGAAAGATCATTGGAAGAGGGAACAATAAGAAACAGCAGGTTTTTATGTAAAAATTTACTGTGCAAGATAATGCGACCTTTGAGAGTGCGGTCCTAAGCATTAACTATTAAAATTGAGTTTCGCTTTGACCCCTGTAGGATGCAAAATTCGACGGGATGATGTTCAGTTTTGTACGATGTCCGAAACAATTACGTTTCTGTCCTCTAGCGGAAAGGAGACCTGGCGAAAGGAAGTTCCAGAGGGAGTACCAAAAGCCGAGGTATGTTGTTACACCGGAGATAGTCTGGAGAATTAGAGTGTTCGAGAATTGAATGACGGGGTGCCTCCTTCGTTGTCAAAGTTTTTGTACATGGTAACACTTGATCCTTGGAAATTAACTGAGATTTACAGGCCCATGTTGTTTCGTAGTTAGGGCACTGCAAGCAGGGAACACTTTCTTACAGTTTTCTGCACGTCTCATTCTGGTCGAGGCGACTCAATTTTGCTAACACTGTACAAAGCTCTACACTTAGTTACACAAACAATGCAGATACTTCGATGACTGGCCTCGAACGTGGAAAGGCCGGGAAAGCAAGGCTAATTTTCAGAACAGAAATTGCGTTAGTGCTACCATTCACAGTTATTGAACGACTTAATGACGACGCTGGTGAAGTTTCGGACTTCGTAATGCCAATATAAAACACCGTTGAAGTTTAATTATTTTGGTTAGTCTCCTGCGAGTTGAGGAAAAAAAACGTCTGCTCAATCGTTATCTTTTTCTTTTAAATTGTGGCAGGCAATAAACGTCGACAGTGCATCGATGTAAAGAAAAAAATTGCCGCAAAAAGGGACTCGAGTCTTTTGAGGTGACGTTTTGCATATCCATGTGAAATGTGTGCACCTCGCTAGAAGAGTATATACCTCATTGCCACCTGTTTTGGTACTTATAATTGATTTCTTTTGCTCACGTTCAAAATCCTCGGTCGCGTAACCTATACTTTAATCCAAAATGAGATCCACCTTCGCATTCAGAAAGTAGCCGTCTCTTAACTTGTCGCTGAAACTTGATAACCGTCTCTTAGTTAAGTGTTTCAAACGAGGCGAAGTTAGTTTGCGCTTGTTTTTAGTTCTCTTAGCGGTGGGTTAGTTGATGTGTTGTATTGACGCATAATACTTGCTGTAATAAGATGAACTTGGAAAGCCAACTAATGAATTAATGCTTCAATGCCGAATAATCTCAGGGCAGTTTTAAGCAGTGAAATTTTTTAATCGGCTCAATTTCGCTTGGTTAGACTGGAATAACTACTTAAACTCGATTTTCCGACGTTTCGTAACTGTGTGTCTTTAAATAGTAGTATTTGTCTACGGCGTCCCCAATAAAGCGATTACTTTCGGAACACGTGATTCGCATAATATTCAAATTTTTTTGTTTCCTCTTTTTCGTGTTAAGCGAGGCAACTTATGGACTAGAGTCTCTCACAACGTGTCGCTTTCTTCGTGCTACTTTTTCCCGAATGGATTTAAAGACTTTCGGACGACGAACGGCGGAACCTGTCGTTTTTTTCTTTTGTGTTTCGGCTTGGTGTGACAAAGCTAAGGTCTCTTTAGAATCAAATACATTTTAGATCATATAGTTTAACATAACGTAACTTGTTGCTGTCAAACTTAAAGAGAAATAATTTAATCTGCAAAAAAGCCATGTTTGCCAGACGAAATCTACTCCAGTTAGTTTCTTGTTAGAGGATCGGCGTTGATAGTTATGTAGCCAATCGCTTTACCAATCAAGTCAGTGACGTCGGCCTTCCAGCCAACATATCCCAGCATGCTCTGTACACCGAGATATGGTGAACCAGGTGTCGGGAGTATATTTAATGAAGTCGTGTTTACCAGAATCATCGTCATGGCGAATTGTTGTTTTTCCACCAGTTTTCTGGATTTCCTGAAGGCGATAAGCGAGTAGAATGAGATCCGAATTTCGTCGCTTGTCCATTTTTTTCGACTTGTGAGTTTGACGACGATTCGCGACCGGCGTTGTTCGACTTCTACCGGGTCTTGTGTCAAGTTATAAAGTAGACTTCAAATGTTATGTCAGTGCCGTAGCGAGGCAGGTGGACTGAGAACCAGAGACTCTCTTGCAGTTGCATTTCAACAAATATGTTAGCCTCGGCGGCCGCCAGGGCCCATCATGGGCGCGAGGAAAAACATTCGAGAGAAGAAGCTTTGAAACGTTCTCAAATCGCATTACTCGCCGATGGGCATGGCGAAGAAGAAGAGGAGCTCCACACTCAATTGCTACCTCCGCACTACCTGCTAGTACCGTTCAAGGATTGTGATTATGAGTTGCATGATGGACAAGTAAGTTGAAAATGAAATGTGTCTTCACAATCTCTCTCAAGTGCCTGGAGCATTTTATTATAAATCAATGCGACTCGCAAAAATCCTACCATGGTAGACATTCACTCGGGCGCCAGGATTTTTAGCCAACTTGCTGTTAACGTTCGCGTATAATCGTCACCAAACCTGGCCAGAAGTGACGAATTTTTTCGGTTTAGCCTTATCACGTTTCTGTGCTTTCCGCGGGCAAGACTTCCGCAAATTTTCGATCGAATGCTTGTATTTGAATTCGTGGAAGCCGGCAAGGAAAACTTTATACATAATCTTGAGCATGTGTAAATATTTAAAAATTATGCGAATGTAGCTTGTGTAGAGTATGCATTTTCCTCGAATTTCGCTCGCCTATCCTCTTTCTTTTCAAAAACAGGAGTCAGAAATTAATGTCGTTTGTCTACTCTCCGCAGCGGAAATGTCTTGAATGTGTAGTAAAAAAGTCTTCTTCGCCGGAATTTGATAACAAAAATGTTCGTTTCATTTATGGCTTCCTACTTGGGATTCAACGCTAAAGTCCGAGGAGAGCTTTTGAAATATTCCCGAGCCTTACCTTAAGAACAGACAGCGACAATTCAATTTTCCGAACTTCATTTCAGTTGATTGAAATATCTGCTAGACTAAAGTGTGTTTCGTTGGCTCATTATTCATATTGTAATTCAGTAAGTAGATATAGCCACCGATTCAAGGAACGCTCCGCACTGCCAACCACGTCGATGTAGTCTTTTTACAAAAGTGAATTATGTTCGATGGCGATTAATTCGTTTTCTAATTTAAACACTGCTGTGACAGAACGTGAATGTGTCTGCGAAAATTTTGTCAGTAAATTTTATTTCGTATCATTCAGATGTTGATTTGAGTTGCGAGGCCTGTTATCGTTCAGTCAGCCGTTTCTGTTGGAGATATAGCTTTCTTTCGCCGTGCTCTGCTGCCTTTCGCAAGCAAACAACGGTGAAAATTTAAAGGTTTTCTTTCTTCCAATGTCATACGGCAATAGAAAAGTCAAACAAGGTTCCTTTGTTGTCCAAATGTCGAATTCTGCCCTTTTATTTGCTTACGTTGGTCGCTTTCCAATCGCATAACTTCGGCATTGTGTTCGTGTGTTAAGAATATTGCGAATTAGCCTGTGGACAGTACGAACACGAATCGACAATTTTATAGACGAAACTTTCTTAGAAACTGTACTTTTGCCATTGAAAGAAATTAAACGCTTTGTCATACGTTAGTGTTATTTTTTAATCAAAAGTCATTCTTATTTTGTTATTTCGGGTAACTACGGGCTCGCTTTTTGACTTAAATTAACAAAAGTAAGAATAATAAATTTTTCGTTAAAAATTCGCACATTTGAGGAAATTATTGTTGAATATGCGTAGAATTTCTTGGCCACGCTGTAAATACTCTTATGCGAGATTCGGAACCGCAGGTTCGATGAATATTAATAATCTTTATCAAGAAAATGACAGTCTCTTTAATCAAGCGCAAACTGAGCTTTACGCCTTGATTTAAACGACGGATACAATATAGAAATTCGACAAGTTTGGGATTGTACTTTGTCGCAAAAATATGCAGCTAGCCTTTTTTGTGTAACTGATAGCGCACATTAAAGGACAGATTTTTGCTGACGTTGTGTTCGTACAACTACTGGATTTCGGCATGTTTCATTCTGAGTCCAGCAACCTGCTCTCCACATAAATAAAACAAGATTGTTCGGAAGACCGCAAAATGGGGAGGGGTTTTAAAACGACTCGAAAAGCATCTGACCGAAGACTTGGAATTATTTGTCAGGACTTCGCGAAATAATTTTTGACCGTGTTTTGCAGAAACGGTACTGGTACGCATTCCTTTAAACCATGCTGAACATTTTTTTTTTTGCAAATAAACTTGTCAGACTATAATCGTACAGGTACCGGTTGACTTTAATAGTATTCGATTTCTGAGGAATAGATATTCAGAAGGACTTGATTCTATTGGCACGTGCTAACAAGCACTTGTGCCTAAACGAGTTTATTTTAATTCGAGTCGGCAAGGTTTTGAGTCTTTCGCGAATCTCGATGCCTCTGTAAATGAAATATTAATAGTGTAAATTTTGCCCTTCAAAGAATTGATTTACATACTTTAAATAATTCATCAAAAACTTTTGTTTGGGCCCTTTTCCCCATTTGTTAAGTTGATAAAATATTTAAATTTCTTTCCCTCGACAAGTGACAGTGTAATACCATGTTTACCTAACTGAAAATTGAAGGCGATCGGGAGATTTTCAGTTCTTCATCGTACCTGCAAGAACACCAAAGACATACGCGCCGACTCTCGACTTTCTTCACACGATTTTTGTTGCTAAATTTAAACCAGCATCGGCGATTCGTTGCAGACCGCGCTCGTCCAATTAGCGCGAAATTGCACCCAGTCGGCGTAAACGTTCGCTAATTCCAATCCGTAGTTTTAATTTAGAAAACATGAAACGAGTTGTCTGATAATTTAATTTCTCTCAATCGATCGCGAGAGCGTCTTTTGCAATGGCCTCGAGATTTAGTTAACCGGGCCATTGTTCGCTTTTTGAGAGTTTCTGGTAGCTAAACAGTAGGAGTCTTTGAGTCCTGTCTAATTCTTAGCGATATATGTAGTTTCAGCTACATTGCTTTTAAAATTGTACTATTGACGAGTTGACTTGAAGTCTTTTTGGCGGCGAGCTGACAAATGGAACAGAAAGATGCCGAATGGCTGTTACCTCGAAAGTCACTTTTGTGGTCAAATTTTGTGGGAAAAAGTCGCGTTTGTTTTGCTAAAGAACCCTAAGGTTACAAAAGTATGTTATCTCTTAGCCGTGTAGCGTTGCATTTGTCTGTCATATTCTAACAAACAGCGGGCATTTGCAACTGTTTGCGTTCGTTGTTACCTTCCATGAACGGTTTGTCCACAACTACGACCCAAACAAAGCCGTGCCGGACAAAAGGAGTCTTTGATAGAAAGCCGACCCCCTGTAAATTGCAAATCTTGAAACTGAATAAGAATTTGAGTAATATTTATGTATCCCGCTGGCTAAAGAAAGACAACATTGTTTCGGACAGATGTTTCGCTACTCAGGACCCAACCTTAGTTTTCTCGGCAAACTGGCAGATAGGTTATGCGGCTGTCTTCATGTCGAACTCAAATCTGCTAAAGATAGTGTGACTTTGTAACCTAAGTTGTGCTCGAAAAAGGCGAAAATTCGTCGGAGAAACAACCCGTCTTTCGGAATACATTAGGAACCTTTGCCCCCCGAAACGTGCGCGGTTTTTTTTTTCAATTTATTATGACGAGACTGGAACTTAATCAGAAAGATGAAATTAGGTAAAGCATTGCACCTCTGCGGGAAATAAAATATATTTTAAAGTGTTTGTGTGAAGTTGATCAACAATGTTTCGCTTAGGAATTTCTTGTTTCATGGCGCTACATTGTTGAAAAAAAAAATCTCGTAAAAAACGCCAATAATCCTTCTGCCATATCGCTGAGGACAAATCTTAATGGAAACGTCTAAAACCTTTTCTACTTTGTTTATGTTACGAATTCGTCATCTAATTTCCTATTAGCATTGAAAAAGTCGTCCCTATTGTTCTGCCATTCTTCGACTACTTCATATTTATAGGAAATTAAAAGTAGCACTCGTGTTATTTGTAGAGAAATTATCAATTACCTTCTTATTTTTCTCTGAGGTGACTCATGCCTGCATTCTAATAAGTAAATTCACTTATAAAATTTAATGGAAGTCATAGACACTGTTATTCCCGATGCTCGCCGCACAGTTCTTCTTCCCTTAATTTTATGATCTCAGATAGGTATCAACCAATTGTAGTCACCAAAACAGCGATTGCCGGCATCGAGTGAAATTGCGCCCCTTCTTCTAAATAAACTCGCCTTGTCACTTCCTATTAAAATGAATATAGCTTCCGCATTAACGATATAAAAAACCTAAATTGCCTTGGAGTGTTTTTTCTGTACGGGAAAACATTTTGAAATCCACTTCCATATTGATTCGGGAGCTGTTCAATTTCCGATTTGACTGTATCTGTGTTTGATTTTTTTTCCTTACTTATTCATAAAAAAAGGAGAGAGCTTACTTTTCTTTTATTCAGATTACAAGCTTTCAATATAAGGATCACAATTAGAACAAAGCCATTTACCGTTTACCAATTTACGTAGTAAGTTCTGTTTGTTCTGCTTCGCCGCGATAAACCGATAGTTTCGCTTTTGCCTTATAAGGTAGTCTTGGCGCCGCTTTTTACCATAAAAATTATTTTGCTCAGAGCTTAAAAGATCGTCTTTGAATCGTAAAGTAAAAGCAGGCCTTTTGATACAAATTTTTACAGGATCGAAATTAAATCCTTTGACCAAATTAAAAAAATGGGTTTACCCTTTTTGACGAGATTAATTCATATTTACTCTCAGAATTGTTCGCGATTCCCAAAGATGCCATTAGTTTTAACAAGCTTAATATTAATACCAGTATTACAGGTAATTGAGTTTATTTTCTTATTATTTCGTGTATTTTTTTCTTTTTTAGACTTTCCTTATTGTTGCAAACAAGTTTGGCAAGCAGTATGTATACCGCTTCCACGCATCAGATTCCCTGTATATATTCAGTCCTCGGAACAAGATTCGAAGATTTGTTCTTTTTCTCATAACACATCAATATCCTTTTATTCTGAAATCATATGCCAATTTATGGCCAGTAATTATGTTAATTTGATTATATTTAAGCTTTGGGATTGAAATTTATAGTTGCATGCCTATGTTTCTGTTTCTGTTTTGGTTTGTAGTCGTTCGTTTGTTTACTCATGATCTTTCAGTTTTGCGTTAGTTGCTGTGTATGATTTTAGTTTCCTCTGTTCTTTTGTCTTCTCCTATCACTGAAAGCTGCAGCTAACAATTAGTTACCGGACAATAGACCCTTTCCACGTTTTTTTTTTGTTTAGAGTGATTTTACTTGAACCGTGAAACAGATACTAACAATTAGTGCAAAATAGCAAGACGTAAACAATTAATAAGACATTGGATTTAGTGCATAATAGTGCGTAGTATTCTACTACCTATTTCACGGGTTAAGTAAAATCACTCTAATTTTATCTGGGGCCAGTTAGCGAAAAGAAGTAAAGACGCCATATTTGAACGTGATTTGTTGAAAATTGGTCAAGGTTTAGCTCCGCAAAGTCGCCGAATCTTACAGACGTTTGTATGGTGTAGGGCAAGTTAGTGCCCCCCCACCACCATACCCCCCCCCCCCCTCCACCATATACCCCCACCATACAAGCGTCTGTAAAATTTCGCGACTTTGTAGAGCAATATCTTCGCTCGCTTTTAGCGTATCACCTTTAAACTTTGTAAGTCTCTTAATTTTCAGGGCCTTTTACCTGTGGCGTCAATAGATATTTGCTAAATGGTCTTTATCAAAACTTAAAAAAATAGAAACGTGAAAGGGTCTATTCTGACTAAAATTGGCCCATGAGCGACGAAATCTTAACTGTGGTCGGACAAGATGGCCGGATAAAGTCAAGGATATTATTTTGCAGATGAATAAAATCTACCATTAGCGCATGTTTATTGCGTACCAACGAAATAACACTGTTGCACTGAGTAAATATTTCAAATGGTAGTTAGCCGTTTTTTCTGCAAACCACAGTTGACGTTGACGCGATGTTACTTGGGACGATTGGCAACTACAATTTTCAGCGCAACACAGCGTTACGATATTGTTGCGACATTGTTTGGAATTATCACAACATTGTTCCAAGATTATTGCCCTATAAATCGTCGTTTCATACTGTTTCGGCTAACATTAACTGTAAGACGCGCGATTTAGTCCGACCACTTTTTTTTGTAGTTTGTCAGACCAAAATAGTAACTTAGCTGGACATACGTCTCTGGACAGACGTTCTCTCAAGAAAGAAAGGACCTTTCTAAACTTACTCCTCAGTAAGGGACCTTGTGAATCGTGTTGCCCTTCCCGAGGCTTTTTTCGTAGCTCATCACTAGGTTCCAACCTTTCACAGTTTTCAGTGGTTTCTGTGACCTTACTTGAATGTGGAAGTGGTTGGTTTTAACACTAAAGCTAATTTAGGTCTCAATAAGAATTGAGAAAGGTCCTTAATAGGACAATCATGTCACTTTTGGAGAGCATATGGCATAAAGTTTATTTGTGGCCCGAGTCCGTTCGGGCGCAAATGATGTCACGAGGCCCTTGTAGTGGTTCTGTGTCGGACACAAATAAACTATATGCCTGACAAAAGTCATGTGATTATATTTATTATCAGTACACAAGGCCAAATCGTAAAAATTTATTTCATAAGGAAAGACTGTTTAACAAGAAAAAAAGTTGCGGGCCGCAAATTCCATCAGTGCAGCCCGCACTTCGCCGTTTGGTCCGCGATAGCGAGCGTTTTAGAGAGAGCAGTTTGTCATTTGGCCGCGTGTAGTGATAATAATTTCAATTATTACTATCTATAAATAACTGTTTTTCCCCATATAAGGGAATCCAAGACAGTCTTGGATTCTGGATTCCACGCCGTGGACTTTGTTCCGGATTCCAGGTACGTTTTCTCAGTGGAAAATTTCCCAGATTCCGGATTCCACAAGAGGAAAATTCTCCTTACATGGGGCGAATTTTTACTGTTAATCTGTTGGTACATACATAGCGCTGTGTGAGTGTAATCTTCAAGTTTCAATGTTTTCCTTGACCATTTCTCACATATTTCGAACTTCTTATTCTTCTAACAATTTTAACAAACTGTGTTTTCCTGGCTATGAGCGACCCGCCCGATGTTGCTGAGTAAGTACATCAGCTCTTTATCTGACCCCCGTCCACGTGCATGACCGCTTTAGTTTGACGTCGTTTGGTACAGTGGAACCTCGCCTTACGATCACCTCGTTATTACGACCAGGACCTTATGGCCCAACGGTAGTCGCATTAACGGAGTTCCTCTGTACAGATATTCAAACTCAGTTTGCTGTTCTTTTTTTGCACTGTCCACCCCTATTAACCAGCGAGCAGCCTCGCAATTCAACAAAGGTAAAGGGTTACGCGCGAGGAGCCAGCGATGCGAGGAGTGAGGTCGCACTCGCGCGTAACCGCCCCCTACTACTCTTTCTCAAACTATCAAAACAGATCAAAAACGCTTTTACCTTCTGAATTTCTTTGATGTCATTCTTGTTTTCCACTATCAAAAATCACAATTTTGGACAGCTTAGAAAAGCAGTTTTGGAGTGTTCTGAATGTGCACTCCCTCGAGAGGGCGATGCTCCATTGAGACTAATAGTATAGTCATACTTATAGTCACGCCTTACTCCACAATGCCGTGCTAAAAAAATTAAGACAAGACCTCGCCTACGCTTACGCTACAAGTTATTAACAACACATCAATGATGTGCTCGCGACTGAATAAATTAATTGTGCGATACATAAAGAAACAAAATTTTTTCTCCTTATTTTCACGAAAAAGATAGTTATTACGTGTATTGGCTATTTGCATGACTGCCAAGCTAGACTCGGGCTACTCTTTTCCCATGGATACTGATAGCCCACGCAATTTTTTCAGAATGGAGCACGTATTATTTACTCATGGCGATTAGAGCGGTTTTCATTTGAGTGTCGAAAAGTAATTGGTTTTGCACTTTCTACACGATGCGATTGGCTTAAAAGATTCGCGCCACCTTTTCATCCAATCAGAAGTAAAACCAAAGCCAATTGTGACGCGCTCGCATGCATTTTCCCGCGCTTTGCGTCAGCCACATGTAATTACTTCGAGTTTTGTTTGGTTCAATATATTGTCTGTGTCCTATGTGATTGGCCAGAGTAATTACTTTGGTTTTGGTTTTACGACACTCAAACGAAAACCACTCTAAGCAACAAATTTCAGACCACGAAAGACATTTATTGCCACGAATTGTTTAACCTGGGGAAATCTATCACTGAGCATTTTTTGATTCGTAATATTTTTCAAGGAAAAAAGGGTTGTTCCTTCTTGATGCTGGAGGTTTTCGTAAGAACGTGACGAAAAACAAAACCAAAGTCTATCTATCAATTTCTTAAGTTATTAGTGTGTTTAAAATATCTCCCCACAGAATTTTCTACAAGTTCTTTCACAAAGTCACGAAATGCAATATAATAATCTTGTTCTTTTTTCGGCTGGATACATGGATTACATTAATTACATTCGTCCTTTTTTTAAAGTCGTGCATAATACACCTGATGAGGAAGATTAATAGAAATTAGTCCCAGTGATTATTGAAAACTTATTGAACGAGTGACCACTGCTTTTCACAGTTGGATCCTACGAGTTTTCACAAACGCTGCTTTGCTTCTCTGTCAGTGGAAAGAGAAACCGCTTCTTTGTTCTAAAATGTTGTCTATACTTTTAACATTATTTTTGTCTGTACTTTCCCTGTTTTTTTTTTTTTTTTTTTTTTTTTAGTTCAGTATACCACAAGGTTAGCTAAGGCTGGTCTTTGTTCACTCTTGGTCACTAGATCCATGTTTTGAAATTATCTCCTAAATAACACGAGGTTGCTTTGAACAAAAAAATTCAATACAATTCTACCGTACTGTTTGTCTCAGGAATTTAAATCGAAGGAGCGGAGCACGAGCAAAAGGTTTTTAAACTCGCTTGAATGCGTCGCTCGCTTCAATTTGCAAGCTTGTGTTACTAATCATTTTCTGATTTTCTTTTTTCTTTCCCTCAGATATGTGTTTGCAGCTATCTATACAGTTGAAATGTTTCTTAAGATCATAGGCCGGGGCTTTGCACTTCATAAATATGCATATCTTAGAAATGCGTGGAATTGGTTAGACTTCCTTGTAGTAGTTTTAGGGTAAGTAGATTTATTTTGACGCCCAAAAATGACAATCAGTTTGGGTTGAATTTGAATAGGAAAAGGACTTCGACAGCAACAGAAAACTGAACACATGGCAATGGACTCGCTCACTTATGAAACAAGAGAACGTGACTTAGTGTTTTCCCTAAACCGTAAAAGAATTCATTTTCTTTCTGGTTTTAATCTTTATGTCTCCAATTTGGTTTCAAGAGAGCTTAGCGGTTTTCCAGCGTGGGTTGTTGAGAAATCGTCACTTAAATTACGTCATGCCCGCATCGCATTTTCACGCGAGAGGGTTTATCCCTTTATCTTGTAATGACTATTGTTTGGTTGATTTTCTCATGACAGCGAGTAAGCAATGATTTATTCATTTTTCTCTTGTCATTAATCATAAGCTGATAAGGCAATTACTTTGACATTGATGACTAATCCTTAAGTGTCGAAATCCTTATATAATGTGGGATTAAAAGCAAATTCTTACATGGAAACATTCATCTCAATAGCCGGGAGATTTCATCTGTCAGGGGGTCTTTTTTATAGTGAATCAACTCTTATATTTCTCGAAATGGACGTGATACAGTAAAAACTCTTAAGTTATTCAAGGCTCAAAAGCTAGCCATTACTATGGAAACCAAAGGTTGTTTACCAGGAATTAGTTCATTTCTAAGATTTATAATATAAAATGACGAACGAGCTAGACCACGAGAGTGAAAGAAAATTATACAATATTTCGGCTCTATTTCAGAGTTAGAATCATGTAATAAGAAATAAAGCTAAAATATTGCAAAACAAAAACAAAATTCTCTCATCATTGTAATTAGCCAAAGCTTGGTATCGAAAAAATGATCACCCGATCCTCTGTATCGTTTTGTACATTTTCTGTTCTAAATTGTCAGTTGATTTTGGATAAACCTGAAACATATTCACGCACATTTTGAGCCCTGATATTCTCTTCCTCTAGCATATAAGTTGTTAAATCATTTAGCACACGTGGAAAGAATTCATTTGATAAATTTTCTCTCAATGCATGGTTGCCTATTTTTTATTTCCTTGCAGTTATATAACAATGCTTCCTGGAGTAGAAGATTTATCAGGAATTCGAACGTTTAGAGTCCTTAGAGCTTTGAGAACAATATCAGCTGTTAAAGGTAAAAAAATTAAAAGTGATAATTATTAAAGATATATTCTTTTTTTTGTTACGATGAAGAACGTCAAATTGACACCCAAGGCGGAACCGATAACGCGGAATGTCTGTTCCTGTTTCCCTGTCATCCTAAGCCTAGGCCAAACGTTGAACTTTTCATGAGACGAACCAATCTCCAATTTGGGTCTACCGAAATTAAAGTAAGATTAAGTTAAGAGGCGTCGATTCAATCAACTGAATCAGACCAAAAAGTAGTTTTAATAAATTTTCTCCCGAACGAGGCTAAATATAAATTATCGTACAAAATTTTTAATTTATTAGTTTAGTTTTTCCCATGTGAAGATCGACGTTTGTCCCGGAGACGATCTTCAGGCGTTCTATCCGATCCATACTCATTCAGATAAACTTAACTGAGCCACGTCGAACTTTTCATGAACTTAACTCACTAAGTTTGGTTCGTCTCATGAAAATTTCGGCGTTTGGCCTACGCCAAACCTAAATCCTAGAATGTGTTGCGAACGTGACGAGGAAACATATCAACGACCACTGTGTGCTACATCTTATTAAATGCTATGAGCCTTTAGCTCAAAGCAAAAACGAGTGCGGAACTGAATAAAAATTTCTATAGCTCTTGGGCCAGCTTTGGCCGGGTGCGTTCTTAGTCGTTAGAGAGATTTACAAGCACTGACGGTTACCCGCGCCAAAACGCAAACGTCAATTTGTACCACGTGACCAAGTTTTCCCTTTTACTGTCGTTTACTGTTCATTATATCTACCTAAAACTAGTAGTTTCAGGCCATTTTCATCCCAAGAATTATTTTGCACAGTTTTTATTTGTTCATTTCCTTATTTGAGAAATCGTCAACCTGAATTTGACGTTTCCCGTTTGCCGTAAACGTGAATTTTAAATCTCTCTAATTTCAGCGCTAAAGTTCTTATAGACTAAGGCGACGACAGTCATCGCGGTCATTTTGTTAGCTTCAAGGTCTAACAGTTTGTAGGGCATGCAATGATTTCTTTCTCAGTTATTTTAAGATCCTAAGTATCGGTCCGGTTCTTGCTACCGAACCACCCACCCGCGACACCCTAATGTGCTTCTAACTATTATTATTGTTTTGTTTTTGCAGGGTTAAAAGCCATGGTTAACACGCTACTTAAATCCATCAGAATGTTGTCTGATGTTCTTATACTCACTACTTTCTTTCTATGCGTCTTTGCTCTAATTGGCCTCCAACTCTTTGTTGGCGTAATGCAGTGGAAATGTGTTGCCAACGGATGGCATCAAAATCATACTCAGGACTTTGATCAATATATTAAAAATCCAGGTAAGTAAAAGTCACTTCAGCCTGGATGATAGTTCCGTGATAGTTCTTTTAATTCACCCCTTTTATGGTTTTTATGACTATCGCAGTCTCTTCATAGCGAATCGAACTTGATTCACCACAATTATTTTTGCTGTAAATATAAGTCTGTTAGCCCAGTGGAAGAGGTATTTAATTTTAGGTTTGTTTTGTTTGCACGATATTTTCCCCCTTAAATCACCCAGTCTCTATGGGGGGTTCCTCAAGTTGAGAACTGCAATGGATTAATGTTAATTGGTTTAGTATTAGTATATAGAGGGAAGCTCCGCTTTTAGGCTTGGCTAAATCTATATATTAGTTCCTGACAACACTGATGCCGATTTTGCTTGAAAACGTAAGATATTTACGCGTTTCTGCCTTGCCTTCACACGATCAAACACGGCGGTTTCTGAGCAATTTTACGAGAGTGCTGTCGAAAGTGGAGATTTTCAAAAACGGAAGATTTATCGTTTTAGTACAGGTAAGAAAAAACTAAGATTTTCGAAATCGCTGACATAACAGCGAGGCATGATATACTTGCAAGCTTGAAATTGGTGGGAAAACGAGAGTGTCACTGGCGCTAATCCGAGAACAGCCTGAGAACGAAAACGTATCACGACGAACACGCTGCAAGAAGCGCTATTTTGGAAGTGGAGCTGTAGAAGCAAAGTTCTTCGAAAATGAAATTTATGCGGACAGGGCCTCACACGCAAAAACACTTCATATCTCTATTATTTTACGTTGTTTAATGTTCGGTACCGCAGGTCTGCTTCAATTTGAGTGGTCACTGCACAGGTTTTCACAGATTCAAAAGTTAGAACTTGTTTATACAGCATAGCGGACTGTTCTCCGTGAAAGTAGTGGCAGAGTAATCGTAATCACATACCGTTTGTAGTGCCTTATTAGTGTACGTCAGTAGCAACCGTGTACATTCAGTGTGGTGACAAGTTTTGCTGTCTTCCAGCTAATCATTATATTTTTGATGGCGATGAAGTAGCTGTTTTGTGTGGCAATTCTTCAGTCTCCTAGTAAGTCAGTTCTTCTTTTATCAGTAGTCAATACGGTTTAGGAAGAGACTATCCATGAATCAATAATACTAACTTCGTGTAATTCAGACAACTTAAATTCTGTCATGTGTGATCAACTGCTGCCCTTGCTTTTTAAATCATATTGCCTTCCCTTTGATGAACAAATCGTTCAGTGTCCACAGAATACAAATAGATAAAAAAAATCGAAAAATCTTTACGTAAAATTTACGGGTATTTTTACATCCTTTATCACCTTCGGGTAAGGAAATCCAGCAACGACAAGACTATGGTAGAAACCGACATGTTCGTTGGAAGTGCCCGGTATCTCTTTTCACTCTCATTTCAGTTAAATGCGAGCGAACGCACTTTATAATCGTTAATAGTGAAAATAATAATGATGATGATGATGATGATGACGATGATAATAATAATGATAATAATAATTTGTTTTAACAAATCATTAAAAGCAGTTACCCACTAATTAAGGACACCTATCCAAGAACTAACAAAAAGGCTAAAAAAACATAAAACAAAATTCATTACTTCTAGGTTAATTTATTCTCTTTTCCTGTTCAGCCAATGTCCTGAAAACTACACGTGTATGCCTAATACAGGCCCAAACCCTATTTCAAAGTACATCAGCTACGATAACTTCGGTTGGGCTCTCTTAACTTCTGTGCAGCTTGTCACAATGGACTATTGGGAGAGTATATATAACAGTGTAAGTAGCTGTCTCTTTGGGATCTACGTGTTTTGCGAAATCAGTTTTGGCATAGTCTGCTGTCGCAGACACTCTAAACTGCAGTATACTAGATGCATGGGCCGGTTGCAACACCGGATATCTTAGCGAGCTTGCTGTACTCATTGTTTTAAGTAATATATCGAACACTAGGCACTATGTTTCATGAAAAGATCAAACAACTGAGGAGAGTTGAAAATGCGACACGCAGCGAAGTATTTTTGATGAAATTCGAGTTGTTCGATCTTGCGATGAAATACTGTGTGGAATGTTTGAAATTACTTGTTAAGAAATGATTTGACAAGGAGAGATAAAGGATGCAATAATTGCGAGCTCTTCATCTAATTTCCAAACACTTCCTTTTGAGAATTTGAATCAACGACCCACCCGTACTTCGGAGAGATTCTCACGGTTACACTTGTCAGAGGCGTGTCTGGGGAGATCAGTCTTTTTGTAACCGGTACTCGTTGTTAGAAGTGCTACAACACCCTATTTGCTATCTTTTCCAAAAGCTAGAACTTGTCGTCGCATCAACTGAATTCCAAAAAATAATTGTCCAGGAATTGAAACTGTTTCCTGTCATCTGTTGCAACGGATGGCAAGGATGGAAATGGATTAAAATGGATTCATGCCTGCAAAAATTACCCAAAAATTATCATGGTTAGTGCTCCCTGATGAAATTTGTTATATATTTTCTTCATAACTCTACAGCCCTGGCCCCCGGTTGTTCAAAAGTTGAATAGCGCTATCCACCGGATAAATCGCTATCCAGTGGACAAGTCTGATTACGAAAACCGATTGCGTTATCCGCTGGATAGTGATTTATCCCGTGGATAGCGTTATCCACCTTTTCAACAACTGGGCCCAAGGCATTTTGTGTATGGCTGAAGGCACCAAGTAATCGCTTAAGAACTTGACCTATAACAACAATATGCTCGTGATATTGCCCTATTAACAGTTGCATTCTAAATCCTACCCTTACTTAAGTAAGATGCTCTTGGCTTCGCTTGTCAAATAACGTGAATTTTAACGTTATTATCATTCAGGTTATAGCGACCAAGGGTCCGTGGTACGTGTTCTATTTTTTGTTCGTGATTTTCTTGGGCCCCTTCTATCTCATCAATCTTGTCTTGGCTGTTGTATCACTCTCCTACGAGCAGGAAACCGCTGCCCTTCAGGACGCAGGACTCAGGGTAAGTACTATTTAAAATAGGGACCTTAAGCAGAAACGGTTACAGTTCAGCTCATCGGTGGATCTGTCACATAAAACAACAGGCGCCGAGGATTGTCCCTACATCACGATAGCGTAGGGTCAAGGGTGATGGATTCTAGCCAAATCCTTTTTGTTTTTTTGTTTTGCTCTGTTTTGTTTGTTTGTTTGTTTTTTAACCAAGACGAACGACTACGAAGTTGAGGTCCGTAAAACTGCTAAAAGCAATTGAACTGAATGAAGATGTATAGAACTCAAAACCTTTATCGCCTGGATAAAATCCAACTTAGTGGCCACTTTAGCAGTTTTAGAGATTGAATATCCAAACGTCTTTTCTCTCTCTAGGCGCAAGCCTTTGCCAAGCTTAAAAGAAGTGCGTCTACGTATTCTTTCGATGGAAAAATGGAACCGGAACCTCTGTACGAGGAGGACTTGAAGAAGATCGAGGATCGCAATGCGTACATTGCAGCCCATCCGGAAGAGTCCGAACATCAGACGGAACTCGAAGAACCAACGGAGCTTACTGTCGAAGTCCCGACGAATCCGAGCTGCTGGAAAAAAACTCAGAAGAAGGTCGCTCATTTCGTGAACACTTCGGGATTTGAGGCCCTTATTACCGCGTGTATCCTTTTCAACACTCTTGCAATGGCTTTGGAACACTTTAAAATGGACAAAACGTTTTCTAAAGTGCTTGAGAACTGTAACTTGGTGAGCATTTCGAATATTATTGATTTTTTTCTGTGTGTTGGAAGAGATATAATGTCGACACTGCCGAGGAACGCTTGGTTACGGCAGCGAAAGAAAAGCAATTGAATAAGCCGCATGAATTCGCCACCGAGAATTGTTTATCAGGCAATAAAGAGGAGGTTCATCAAGTTTTATGACTGGCGGCCAATGACGGGATCTAGAACGTCCAATCTTCGTCATTGTTAATATCTCTTGAAACGTTCTGCTGATTTATTTCTAGCCTAAGAGCAAGCTCCCCTGTGGCTCCCGGGGATGCGGGGTTGGGGCAGTTAAGAGGGAGAGCTTGCTCACAGGGTAATTTATTTCATGTCTTGCTTCCCAGGTTTTTACTGGAGTTTTCATGATGGAAATGGCTCTGAAATTGATCGCTTTTGGCCTCAAAGAGTATTGCAAGAACAAGTGGAATTTGTTTGACGGCACAATTGTTATTCTTAGTGTACTGGATATGGCGCTGACCTACTCCAAAACCATCGAAGGCGCAGGATTGAGTGTACTTCGAACGTTCAGATTGGTAAGTCGGTACAATGAAACATCATCATACAACCCACCCGTTTTGCTGTTTTTGCTGCAAAAGCCAATCGGGCGTGAGAAAGTAAACTGCGACCAAGAGCGAGAGCGTTAATTAGTTTGTTGTTTTGTGGCAAGTTTGCGTGTCGTTTTTAGTACTTTGCAGTAAAGAATCGCAGTCTGTAAATGTGAATATCATATTATCCACTCCCCTTAGGGCTTTTCAGGGATAGTTTACAACACTGGTTGGGTTACTTAGCCAGACTGGTTAAGGTGCAGTTTACAAGTAATGAAGGAGTGAGTAATGATGCCCCCATACATATGTGTGAAAGTGAGATAGACCACTACACCGGGCACTACGTGCCCTACTCTTTACGAAGAGTGTGTGGGTTCTTTAACGTCTCACAGATTTATTACATCTGCAAGGGCTTGTGAGACGGGGCCTACGGTTTATCGTCCTCATCCGAGAAGACTAGAAAGTCAAGCTGTTTGCAGATGTTATTACAAAGGCAGCACTTTCTCCTCAGTTATTTAAAGACCCTGAGTGTTGGTCCGGCCGGGGTTTGAGCCTACGGCCTCCCGCTCAGCAGACTACAGCATTTATCTGGTATTTTTGCAACAATTCGCCTGTTAACTGAAAATAGGTTATTAACTCACGAGCTTTTTAAAGTTTGCCTTCAATAATGGTTACACAGGAAAACACTTGAAAGGGGAGGAAAGATGGGAATCATCACCTAAGAAAGGTAGTTTCTACCTCGGAAAACCTTGGATCTCCCTTATCAAAGTTCCTAGTTCCGTCCCTGGATGTTACAAGAGGAAATTATATTAACAATTTTCACTGTTAGGGCTTCTCTTCTTCCACAGCTCAGAGTTTTAAAGCTAGCACAGTCCTGGAAAACAATGGGAGATCTTCTCAACACCATCGGAAGCAGCGTTGGAGCAGTGGGAAATATCACGGTGATTCTCGCCATTATAGTTTACATGTTCGCTGTTGTAGGCATGCAGCTCTTCCAGGAAGCCTACAAAAACGAGAATGCGTTTAAAGACAAGAAAATACCACGGTGGAATTTCAGTGATTTTGGTCACTCCTTTATGGTTATTTTCAGGATATTATGTGGCAAATGGATTGAACCGTTGTGGTGGACGATGCGGGCTACCAGTACTGCAGCAATTATCTTTATTTTGCCGGCTTTCGTGATCGGAAATTTTGTCATTCTGAACCTTTTTCTTGCTCTGCTGTTGAACTCGTTCAGTTCCGGGGATGATGTAGAGGAGGACGAAGAGGAGAACAAGAAAAAGGAAGAAGAAAAGAAAAAGAAGAAAAAGAAGAAGAAGCGACCAGATATCATTCGCTTACTAATGTGCAAAAAGAACAAAAACCTGTCTGGGAGTCGGGGGAAGGTGGGTCCAGACGAAGACGGTGACGGAACGGAGGGAGATGTAAATTCTAGAACGATAAGCCCAACAGACGATCTTGGCAAAAAGAAGGCGGCGGTGACATTATCTAATAATCTTAAGAATGGTGATCAAGAGAATGGATATGAAATGACTCTTGTACACCGTGTGCCTAATGGTCAGACGCAACAGGAGAATTATAATGGCTACAAGTACAACTTTGGTGAGTTATGACTCGTCTGAACCAGTACTGCCAGCCACATTGAGATTTCCTCTCTTTGTTTCTATAGCGCATTATTAAGTACTTAACGTGCGTTACTGGACTCATTTCTTGGCAGTTGATTGTTATTATGACCTGCAAGGTCTGTAACGATTGACGGTTTTTAGAATTTGGGCGGGTCTCAACAGGTACTCAATAAGTTATGGCTGGGTATTTTCTTGGTTAGTCTCCTTCGCAGCCGTTCGGGCCGGAGTCACGTAACGCTCTTAGAGTAATACATGATCTGACCACATTTGCTAAGTTAGCGACATCTTTGCAGTTGTATCCTAACCCATTGGGTAGCACCTTGGCTCTTCCAATACCATTATTAAATCGGTCAATGTACTTAGGTGTTCCATTATCGTTATCTCAATATAACCGAGAGAGTTAAGGTGATTGCTCCATCTCTTGACTAACATGATAACTAGTACTTCAGTAGTTGATATTTCAGCCATAATGAGATTGAGGTTGTTTACCATTTACTAAACGTTTCCGGAAAATGTGGTTGTAAAGTAAATGGAACGCGGCTTTTCTTGTCGTTCCAGTGAGAAATTTTCAGGAGCAACAGAACATCTGAAAAGATAGTCCAGTTTTTACTGGACGAAATGTTCCGAGCGGAAATTCGTGTTTCATTTGTTAAAACCCGTCTTTGATACTAGTTTCAGGCATTTGCGGCCGTTTTTCGGTAAAAGTAACTGATTTGTCCGAATGGTAAACACAGTCCGTAATGAAATTTGCCAGTCGTGTCCGTAATGAAATTTGCCAGTCGTGAATTTTTCTTATCCTCTGCCCAAAACCTTGAACCGATCGGTTTGCCCAGGTAAATGGTTATTAACCAGAACAACTTCATCAACTTCGTCTTATTTATGCTAAAGATTGACTGTCACAGCATTGCCCGTTAGCAGTTCCACATCGAGGGAACATGCCCTAAGCGATGTTTGCGGAGTGACTCTGTAAGATCGGGAGCATGAGAAAGCCTGGTATCCATGCATCTAACACTTGAAATGTTATTTTGTCAGATGAAACTCCTGGTAAACCTGTTGGACGCAACACCAAGGTGAATTCCCCTCCCATTGAGAATCGTCACTCCCTTACCACCGCGCTTGATCTGGACGAGGCTGCATTGAGAATAAGGGACCTTTCGGACTCCAATAAGAAACTTCCACGCGTTAACCGTGTGAAAAGTGACGATAGACTGGGATCTAGCGACAACAACCTTAGCAACGGGGATCTGGTAGGAAACGGCTCTGCGCCTGTGGTGATAAACGGAAACTCGCGCATGTCTGCTGGGTCATCGCACAAAGATGTAAGTCTCGGTGACATTGAGTCACGCATTCCGCCCAACAGCCCCGGACATGACTCAAAGCGTGACACAATTGTCACGGTAGAGAGCTGCGACACTACTGCTACAAGCGCTGGCGTGCGACCATGTTGTCCGGGATTCTGCTACTGTGACAGCAACTGCTGCTCTAATTACAAAGAGTCTTGCATTAGGAGAACCTGGCATGGACTGCGCTATCACGTCTGTGTGTTTGTGGAGCATAAGTATTTTGAATGGTTCATTCTCTTCATGATTGTCATCAGTAGCTTAACACTGGTGAGTTACTAGTTCAGTTCAGTTCAGTTCAGCTTATTTAGCCAAAATAAATTACAATTCAAGGATACATAATATATAGATTTAGCCAGGGCTAAAAGCGAAGAAGCTGCAATTAATAATTTAAATCAAACAATAAACTTTTAATCCACAAATCAGTTAACTTAAAGGCACATTCATGTGACTTTTGAGGGAAAGGCTAAGTTATTTTAGAGTGAAACATCTTACATCGAATTGGTAACCTTATATGTACATCCAAAAAATAGCAAACATCTTCGATCACATTCAAGATCACAGTAGATTAGGTCTCGAAAACAAATTCTTGGAAAACAAATCACGCCAAATTTTTTTGCGCTCGACAGGTTTACTTTACAAATTCTTGTCAACAAATCTGTGGGTGTTTAAACCAACCTTTTATAATTTTTATACAATACATTTGAGGTTAAACAGTACTATTTAACATACAGAACTCGGGCAGAATGTGGTATTTCACAATTTTTCAAGACAAATTGCATTCAGTCAATATTCAGGACGATCAATCGTGAGCTTTAAGCGCAACCGTTCAAATATTTCCAAAATCACCTATACGGCCAGCTGGTTCTCGTTTCTATGGTGTGAGTTGTCAGCGTGGTCGAGTGTTTGAATAAACTTTAATAGAGTTACGCTTCAACATAATAGCAAATTTATTATTATTTTTTTTGTTATTTAATGGTTTCATGATCAGTTATAACGATGTGTGATCTTATAAAGCGTTTGATACGCGCGACATTTTTGAGCGACATTTTTGAGTACTCCTGCAAGAGATGTTCATGAACGGTGAAAGCAAACGGCACGCACAAGCGATTAAAATAGCAAGAGAGACTACTAACAATCAAAAAACAGAAATATAATTCGGTGAAAAATTTACAGAGACAACAATTTTCACTCACGAAAACAAGTATTAAAGTGTCTCTAAAAATCCTGAGTCTTAAGCTTAAGCCTGCTTCCCGGCGCGGTGTTTACTGTTTTCGAAGGTGAACTCCTCGAAGCAAGAAAATCACTCAAAGTTTTCTTTCTACAGCCAAATTTATAACTAAATATTCTTCGGAACGTTTTCTTTCTATTTGTGGTGAGCAAATATATCTGAAGACTTTTTAGAGTTCTGTAAGCTTGTATCAAACCTGATACTAGGTCAGATCATTGACTCAAATCCTACAAACGTGCATAAACTTGCCGCATAAACTGTCAGCGTGAATTGTGTAAGACCTCATGAAATTAGATATAACAAAAACAAACATCAAATAGAATGATTAATTAGGCTTACCATTCGAGATTCAGTTCCTGAAAGCTATCAAGGAAGGCCACAGTTGCTTGAGACTTTTAAACCCTCTTACGCATTAAGCAAGGTGAAAAACAAAAACGATGCCATCCGAAATTAGCCTGAATTTCATCCGATTACTTCGAGTCGTTATTACTCCCTCGGTAAGAATAATAATATATAGATCTAGCCAGGGCTAAAAGCGAGGCTCCCATTAATAAATTAATAAACTTATATTCCACAATTCAGTTAACTTTAGAGCACATTCATGTGACTTTTCAGGGAAAGGCTAAGTGATTTTAGACAAAAATAGTTTGCAAACAACCCCAGAGTGAACCAAATCTTACATCGAGTTGATGGCCTCATATGTACACCCAAAAACTGGCAATCATCTTCGATCACATTTTTTAAGAGCCATGGCTCTTGATCACCGTAGGTTAATTAGGCCTGCAAAAACGTTCCGGCCGAATTTTTTGCGTTCGACAAGTTTACTTTACAAAATATTGCCAACAAATCTGGGTTCGTGTAAATCAACCTTATATATCATTTATACATCACATCTGAGGTGAAACAGTACTATGAGGCACTGTTTTTATCATACAGACCTCGGACAACAGAATGCAGTATTTGACAGTTTTGCAATACAAATTGCTATCATTCAATATTCAGCACGATCAAAGGACGCCTGGGCTTTAGCTAAACCGTTAAAAAAAGTTCCAAAATCACCTATAGGGCCAGCCGGTTCTGATTTTTGCAGTGCTAGCTGTGGCGAGTGTTTGAATGAACATTAACACAGTTAAGCTCCAATATAATAAAGAATTTATTATGTTTATTTTTTATTTTAAAATGGTTTAACGCGCGGCATTGTTCACTGAACGAATGAAAACAATCGGCACAGCGATTAAAATTACAAGAGAGACTACTAATAATCAATAAAAGACATAAAATTCGGTGAAACATATACAGAGACGACAATTTTCATTCAGGAAGACAAGTATTAAAGTGTCTCTAAAAATCCTGAGTCTTCGAACTTAAAGCTGAAGTTTTTGTTTTAAGCCGGCTTCCCGGTGTTTGCTTTTTTCAAAGACGAACTCGAGGCAAGAAAATCGCTCAAAGCTTCTTTTACAGCCAGAATTATAACTAAAAATTCTTTGGAACGTGTTCTTTCTATTTGCGGTGAGAAAATGTCTTAAGGCTTTTTAAAGATCTGTAAGCTTATATAAACCTGATACTCGGTCAGATCATTGTCTCAAAATCTTACAAACGTGCGTAAACAAAATAGCCGCATAAACTACGCTCGACTTCATTAAATTAGAAATAAAAAACAAACATCAAATACAATAATTATGCACTTATCAATTGAAACCCCGACCCCCCCCACCCCGGGCCTATGTGGGGCAATGTGGGGGATTTTTATGGTATTTGAAGGCATGGTTAGCCCGTGGGGGTGGGGGATTTCTCAGGATTTGCTTAGCATATTCATGGCAGTCCATGGAAGTCGGGGAGCGAGGTGGGGATTTGACTCGTGCCTAGTTTCCTCACGGTAATTTCTTCACGTGATCACTGGTATTTTGATGTATTGCTCGGCCGTAAGTTTCCTAATTGTTTTTCCTTTCATTTCTTCACTGAGACTAATCCTTTGCGATTTTCCCTTGAGCTTTCATGGTTCGTTGACTGGAAATTGTTATTGTTATTCAAAACTTCTCAAACAATGCAGATACAAACTCCTCTACTTATTATAAAAGGTGCTGTGTCACGGCTATCTGGTTCATTTTGTTAATATTGCCAGTTACGTGGTCCCTATTCGCTTTTGAGTGTTACGTTGGCAAAGAAATGAAGAAATCAAAGCTTCGTTTTAAACAGATGTTTCTCCCAAGCATATCAAGCGTTACGGACGAAAACAATGAACTTTGAAAAACTGTTAGGTTAACAAGTTTTCAAAAACCAAAATTTCAATCCGTTTTAATCTTCTTCATGTTTTCCCATCTGTACCTTCTTTTGTATTTGCTGAGTCATTTATACCATCTTTTAATGTCTTAAGCGGTTATTTTTATGTTTCACTCAATTTGGTGGCAGTTCCCACAGCCTACATTTTGGTAAATTTCATGACACAGCTCGTTTAACGTCTAGTGTTAAACCCATGTGGTTTCTGAAGTTCTATATTTCCTCATTCTTTAAGCCAAAATATAAAATATAGCTCCTAGGAACTATTTTATGCAGTCTATTTATAACATCAGCTTGTGAAGGTTAAGGTATGTTGGCTGCTATTTTCAATTAAACTTATCATTGCAGATATTACTTTCAATGGAGATGGTACGGATTTCCTTTTAATATAACTTTTATAGCAATGTGCTACTCCATCATCCATTTTGTACCCTGACTTTTTTATAAGTGGGTAGGGGTCATTATGTTTACTTATTGTCAAATATTTGTTGTACTCCTGGTTGTATTTATATCTTGGTCTGTTATCATATTTGCCTTTTTGCTGTAGTAAATTTGTCAATATTAAGAAGTTGAAAATTCGAACGAAATATTAATAAAGTCAGTCAGGGAATTAAAAAAGGTTTCCCCACCTGGGTGGGGGTTTTACCAGTCAATATGCCCCAGTAGGGTGGGAGTTTGCTAAGATTTGTAATGATGTCAAGTCAAATCCCCACCTTGGCCCGGGGGGGGGGTCGGGATTTCAATTGATAAGTGCATTACTCAGGCTTACCACTCGAGATGAAGCTCCTCAAAGGTATCAAGTTAGGCCAGTATCGCTTCAGACTTTGAAACCCTCTTACGCATTAAGCAAGGTGAAAACGAAAACGATGCCATCCGAAATCGGATTTCCAACTTTGACAAGTGAAGTATTTCTCAACCAAAAACCCAATAAACAAACTATTAGCCATGGATAACAGAAGACTTCCGATAGCAGCTGAATTTCATTTTGTACATCCAATGGAAAAGGACAGTTAAAAACATCACAAGTCGGCACAAAACTCTGTCAGCTTCAGCTGTCAAAGTAAACAAGATTCAAGATGCTGCCTAAATTTTCCGCATGAACTCACCTGTCAAATTTGACCAATCAGAGCATAAAAATTGGACGTAGAACGTGACCAACGCGTGAACATGGTGACAAAAGTCAAAAGCAACTGTCTTCCCTGCCTGTAGCAGCTGACTGAATTTTCGCGTCCGAGGTCAGTTTGAAATCAAAATTTTAATTGTGCGGCACATAAACACAACATATTTCATATGAATTTAAAAAAAAAAAATTAAACTTGAGCCTGCGATCATTTGAAAACCAGTACCTTGTCAGCGGATAACTTCAAAAAAATACTTGACCTCGATGGGTCGACACCTGAGCCCGCGATCCGCTCAAGTGATACTGGTCAGCGGATATCTTGTTTTGACAGCTGCCAATTGATCACACATTGATGTCCAATATGTGTATCAGTTTTCCTGTGCTCCGATCCCAAACTAGCTAAAAAGTATGATTGAACATTGTTCTCGATCTAGTAAAACGATGAACTGGTCAGCGGACAGCTTCCAAATAAATCACGTCACCTCGATGAGTTGACACATGAGCCCGCGATATGGTCATGGGATACTGGTCAGTGGTTATCCTGTTTTGACAGCTGTCAATTGACCATATTGTGAGTGTCATATATAAAAGATGAGGACTTGCCAAGACAGGCCTGAGACACCCCTCCCTTCCTTTTGATAGTCTCCCCTACCCTACCCGTACAATCTGTAGACGCGTACGTACGTACGCTCGGTCAGTCACGTGACAACCAAACGAAAAGAGGTTGACCATATTCCATGAGTATGGGGCTCTGTCCCACGCGCGCTTCGCGCGCGCGGGAGCCCCGCTAATATTGTTGAGAGGAGAAAACGACTCGAAGCAATCGGATGAATTTCAGGCTAATCCGAAATCGAATTACCGAATTTTGACAAGCGACGCATTTCTCAACCAAAAACCCAGTAAATAAACCAGCCATGAATAACAGAAGACTCTTGATAGCAGCTGTATTTCATTTTGTACATCCAGAGGAAAAAGACATTTAAAAACATCACAAGTTGACACAAAACTCTGTCAGCTTCAGCTGTCAAAGTAAACAACTTTCAAGATGCTGCATAATTTTTCCGCATGATCTCACCTGTCAAATTTTGACCAATCAGAGTATAAAAATTGGAGACGAACCTATCATAACAAGGATGAGAACCAAGTCAGCCCAAAAATCTGTTGTGAAGCACTATCCTCTTTTAACTGTATACCAATTTTCTTTACAGGTTTTTGAAGACATACATCTAGACAAGAGAAAGACCTTGAAAAACATGCTATCTGTTATGAATTACATTTTTGCTGTCACCTTCACTTTGGAAATGCTGCTAAAAATTTTCGGAATGGGTTTCGTGGGTTATTTTTCGAACCTATGGAACTGTCTGGATTGTTTCATAGTGGCGGTAAGTCTTGGAGAATGTTAGGCTTTTCACTTAGTCGATAGCCTGCGTAGCAGGCGCTAGGAAGAAATATGCGAGAAAGAACGATGCGCGCGACGGAGGCTCGCGACGGTCTCTCTTCCCTCGCGTGTCTCCCTCGCGCACCGTGTGCGGCCATTTATACTTCCAAGATTCCAAGCGCGTACTACCAGGTTACTGAGTCGAAAGAACCAGACAAAAAAATGTAGTCGATCGTTTTGCCAACATCTTCGAGATGTTGAAAAGAAATGACGAAGACGCATCGAACCCAGTAGTGCAGCATTTCAACCTTCCGAATTATTCTGGTCAAGACATCAGAAACCATGGTAGTTTGCAGTCTCTCCCTACATCAAGGTTGGCGGCCTCGGCCGAGCTGAACGCATGGCTGTCCAGTTTGCCCGATCTTTCATACATACCTAGAGATTTTGGCTCAAACACCATCACTCTCACGTGAAATTTTGCTGACTAAGCCGTTTAACCGACTGAAAAGGTCAACATGGATCACTCACATCAGCTGGTGATCACACCGTCGGTAACGCCGAGAAACTGCTTTTTGTTGTTGTTGTTGTTGGAAAGAATGGGATGTCAGTAAAACGCTAGACTGCAAAACAGTCCGTATTTTTGCTAATTCAGGTACTCCCGAGCAGTCAACAACAACAACATAAGTAATGATTTACTTACTAATTTGTTATCAAATCATGCTGATGACACTTGATTGACTGTAGTAATCATTGCATTGCATTATCATTGTTATAAATTTTAACTTTAATTATTATTCTGTGTAAGGTAGCTGAATTAAGTCGAAAAAAATTTTCTTGGATTTGATTGTAGAATTTCTCCCTTGGGATTGAATATTTTCGACAATGGAAGAGAAAATGAAATTCGCCTTCAATTATACCAGAGTTACAAATAGGGCAGAATCTATCGTTGCGGGAAGTTTGATTATATCTTCCAGTTTTAATCATGAGTTTGTGGTTACTTAAACGAATTTTCACTAAGTCTTTCCTATTAGCTGAATTTCTAATTAAGTCTAGATAACTTGAAATTTTAAAACAAAAGGTCGACTGGAGTAAGGCTGAAAACGGAGAATGAGACTGAAGAGAGACGCTTCACCCAGCCAAAGGCATTTCGCATTGGCTAAATTTTGATGCAAGCTGCCAAGTAATGTTAACATTAAGTCATTCGCAATGTTCCCAACCGTGATGATTTCCTAAAGCTTTTGCCGTAAGTAGCGGTTGAAGACTGCCTGGACGCGCGATTATCGCGTGTGAGACTCTTAAGCTACGCTAACCCATTATACGTTTCTGGGAAACTGCCCACCTACCCCTCCCCTAAGTCAACATTTTGCCCTAAGTGAGAAGTAAGTGTTAATGTTGGCTTAGGGGGCGGGTAGGTGGGCAGTTTGTTGATGCCGTATCCTCTGCCGTTTCTTTTCAGGTTTCCCTTGCAAGCATCACTGGCAATAAGAACCTACAGTCGTTTAGATCTCTTAGGGCGCTAAGGCCTCTCAGAGCCATCTCACGGTTTGAAGGAATGAAGGTACATAAACGAAAAAAAAAATAGGCACTGCATTAGAACGTTAACTTATTAGTAAAAGTGGCATAAGACTGACTGGTATTCTTTTCGGTTTCATTCTGAAATACAGGCGTCTTTCGGGCGCGTCGAAATTCTTAGTGATCGGGTTGCCTCCATTTGCTGAGAAATCTTTACTTTAAAATCAGAGGAAAAGTGGGAGATTATCGACTCGTCCCGGCTCCTGAAGAGTTTTTTTTGTTGCAATTCAACATGGCGGGTGTGTTCTCGTGCGTCCAGTAGCGATACTCACGCTGACGTCACTTATTGATATTTATGTGCCAAAAAGAAGCGCATTGGTTCTTGAAATAAAAGATTGTTTTGTTTCACTCGTTACAATAACAAAAACAATGTTTGTAAACAGTGGTATCCTCAATTGCCAATTGCAGGCTACTTTAGACTGTAATCATACGATTTGTCTAATCGCGACAGGTGTTAACAATGTTTGTTATGTAGTATTTGAGATATTCTTGCAAAAGCTGGGTCGGAAGAAGTTGAATTGACGCTATCTGCTAATTCGTATAATTTATTTCATAGATTGTAGTCAATTCCCTTGTTCACGCTGTGCCGGCGATTGTCAATGTGATGCTCGTTTGCCTCATTTTCTGGCTAATCTTCAGCATCGTTGGTTATCAGTTGTTCGGTGGTAAATTCTACAAGTGCGTAAATGCTTCAACGCTTGAAAGGCTCGATGACACGGTGGTGAAAAACGCTTCTATGTGTGAGGCGACTAATGGTACGCGTTGGATGAATTCAAAGATCAACTTTGACACGTCATTGCAAGGATTCTTAGCGTTATTTCAAGTTGTACGTATTGTTCTTCTCCAGCTTATAAATATAAAAGACCTTTAGATTGTAGGACGAGGACGAGATGTGACCTAAAAACAGACACCCCGGGAAGCTTCATTTTACTTAGTTAACAAGGTTATTTTTTTTATTAAAGGAGCAGAAGCTCTCTTCCGATAGCAACATGATAAAACTTCTAAGATTTGATAACTTGTTCCCCACACTAAAACCCGTAGTAGAATGACGAAGGCTATCACGTTTTCCCGCCCAAATGACGCTGGTTCACGCGCGCGCACTACTTAGTATTGAGAAAATCTCTTTCTCATAGTCGTCCTCGTCTTAGAATCTAAGGGCTGGTTATTTAAACGGAGTTTAGCCAGTGTTTAACAAAACCGCGTTCTAAACCATTTTAGGTTGCCCAAGGCTTTTATCTAAACACTTTTTATCGCGAACAGTTTCATGAAAGCATATACCGTACGCTAGAAAAACATTTGTCTTCCTAAAATAACCCACTAAGGAAGAGATCGGAAGGTCCAAAGATTTCCTAAACCGCGGTCTAAGTCACACTTCCTTTGAAATAACCGACCCTAAAGGTCTCTGTTGAGGAGCTTAAACAACCGTGACGACGACGGCAGGGATAAAGTTTCTTAAAAAGTGAATTTGCGAATTTATTTGAAGGCGAATTCTTAAGGAGCGATCCAAGTTCAGAAATAAAAAAAAAGTTGTCTTGAGTTTACACGGTCCTCCATAAAAGGTAAAATTAGGAAGTTTGACGTTGAAGTCTTGTAGTAACAGAAAATAAATTTACCAAAAAGTGTGATGCAGGCGCGGAGTTGTTGTTTTGGCCATTACTGGTGAATCTATTGCTTTTTTGACGTTCGAGAATCCCTAAAGCCTCGGAGTCATGTTAGAATT